CCTGCTGTGTTCATCCAGCTCTGCACCTTGTTATATTGAATTTTGCTACCATTTTACAGATTTATAAGTTATGCATTTCACCTTTGTGTGGAAATTTAACATCAGAAACATAAATGAGAAGGATGACCATTCACTGATTAAAAGTTAAACACATTGGACATTGTCAGTGCCATCACATATAATGCAGATGGACCAATGGTTTACTTTCTTCATAAGCCAAAAAGAAGGGCTCAGGTTCCAGCTGGAATGTTTCAACAGCAGCGTGCCAAAAGCAGGTGATAGTTATGCCGCAAAATCAAATTATTTCTCTATCTAGAAATCACATCTAGAAAATTTTTGGGGTAATGTGTGCAGTTCTGATCGCCACACTATAGCAAGGATGTGGAGGATTTGGAGACAGTGCAAAATAAGTTCAGCAGGATGTTGTCTGGATTGATGTGTATTACCTTTAAGGAGAGGTTGGATAAACTTAGATTGTTTCCGCTAAAGCATCCAATTATGAAAAGCATGAATAGGTTGAATAGTTGGAGTCTTTTTCCCAGATTGGGAATGTCAAATGCTAGGGGGCATAGCTTTAAAGTGAGATGGGGAAAATTTAGAGAAGATGTGTAAGACAAATTATTTGTGCAGAGGTTGGTAGGTGCCTGGAACACAGTCCCAGGGGAGATGGTAGAAGCAGATAACAACTTTTAAGAGGTATTCAAATAGGTAAATGAACTTGCAAGGAAGAGAAGGATTATGGACCATGTGCAGGCATATGGGATTACTTTAGATTGACACTTGGTCAAGACAGACATAGTGAGTCCAGCATTAGGTTACTTGGAAAGGTTAAGTTTAAAAGTAAAATGATGCCTTTCAATTTAAATAAAATTTCAGTTGCTGAAGTTCAGGTTATAGATAATAAAGAAAAGAAAAATGTGTTATCAGACAGGTAAATGCTGTAATCAAAGATAGGTTTGAAAACAAAATAATCTTGATTGTATTAAAACATTTTATCTCTACAGTATAAACCATAATGCCAATAAATAGGACCAAATTACTGCAAATACTAAAATCTGTACTGAAAACAACAAATGATCACAATGAGGCAGGCAGCATTCATGGAGACACAACAAGCTAACATTTACAGTCTAGACGACACTTCATCAGAGCTGAAGTGAAGTGTGAAGGGGACAGCATTCATGCTATAGTTCGGGGAGGTTGCTAGGGTAATGGGTGTAGGTTGCTGGTAGGGAAAAGATTTTGATAGTTCAGATTAAGTGATCAGAATGTGAGAATGGCAGAACAATGGTGTGTCTTCTGCCAGACTTGAAAGGACAGACAGAACCACTGGGATGGGGGTAAGGGAGAACGGACATGATAACAAAATTTATCAAGTTAAAAGAAAGCAAAGAAATGGGAGTTAGTTCATAATTTGAAGGTGTTGAACTCAATACTAGGTGCAGAAGGCTGTAAAGTGCAATTTAGGTGAAGGAATTAGGAGAATGGGATGGAGTCTTTGCAGGACATGCAGTATGACAAGCTTTAGTGAAGGTAACTATGGGAGTCAGTGGCTTTGTAGTGGATGACAGTGGACAGTTTATTCCCCAAAACTGAGACAAAGCGGTCAATGAAAGGAAACGAAGTGTTGGAAATGGACAATGTAGAAGTTATAGAGGAGTGGAAATTGCAGGCAAAATGAATGAATGTTTCAAGGTCCTGGCAGGAGCATGAAGTGGCACCGAAAGGGTAGTCGATGTACCGAGAAATGAGTTGTGGGACGGGACCAGCATAAGGCTGGAACAAGGATCATTCCACATACACCATAAAGAGACAGGAATAACTGGGACCCATATGGGTGCCCATAGCCATTCATTTGACTTAGTAGAAGTGAGATGAATTAAAGAAGAAATTGTTCAGTGAGAGAATAAGTTCAGCTAGGCGAAGGAGAGTGAGGTGGATAGGGAGTGTTCAGGCCTCTGGTCAAGGAAAAAGCCAAGAACTCTCAGATCATCCTGGTGGGGAATGGAGATACACAGGGATTGGACATTCATGATTATCAGGAGACAGTTAGGGCCAGGGAACTGGAAATTGTCAATATGTTGGAGGGCTTCAGAGGAATCACGGATGTAGGTGGGCAGGCTCTAGACGAGTGGAGAGAGGATGGAGTCAAGGTAGGAGGAAATGAGCTCAGTGGAGCAGGAACAGGCTGATATGATGGGCCTACTGGTCCAGTCTAGTTTGTGGATTTTGCGAAGGAGGTAGAAGTGGGCTGTCTGGGGTTAGGAGACTATCAGGTAGGAGGCAGTGGGGTGAAGATCTCTGGAGGTAATGAGGTTGGTGACAGTCCTGGTAACAATGGCTTGATGTTCTGATGTGGGATTCATGGTCCAGGGGGTGGTAGGAAGAAGTGTCTGAGAGTTGGCATTGAGCTCCACAAGGTAAAGATTTGTGTGCCAGACTACAACCTTTATCAGCCAGTTTGGTAACAAAGTTAGGGTTGGACCTAAGAGAGCGAAGTGTGGCAATTTCAGGAGGGGACAGGTTGGAGTAGGTGGGAGGAGCAAAGAAATTGAGACAGCCGATGTTATATCGGCAGTTTTCAATGAAGAGATTGAGGGCAAGTAAGAAGCTAGGGGGAGGGATCCAAGTGGAAGATGAATACTAAAGGTGGGTGAAGGGATCAGTGTAATAAGGGAGTGAATCCTGCCCGAAAAAGTGAGCGTGGAGATGGAGGTGGCAGAAAAGCTGTTCAACATCATGATGAGCCCAAAATCCGTTAATTTGGGGGTGTAAGGGTATGAAACTGAGTCCTTTGCTGAGGACAGTACATTCAACCTCAGAGAAGGGAAGGTCAGAAGGTACGGTGAACACATGGCAAGGGTTGGTGTTGGGGGAAGTGGCCTCAGGGGGACAGAAAATGATGGCATCTGAGGCCTGGGGAAAGGTGGGTGCTAAGGGATGGTCCACAGGATGGATGTTGGAGTCCATAAGTTGCTGGAGCTTGTGTGCCTTGATGCCTTCAACTCCATCCGACCTATTACCCATGTTTCCGACCTTGCCCCTTTCCATCGCTCACAACAGCATGATTAGGTTCCCTTGTCCTTGCTTATAATCCCACCAGCCTCTGCATTCAATGGATCATTCTTTGCCATTTCAGACAACTCCAGCAGAATGCCACCACCAAACACATCTTTCCCTCCCTTTCTATATTTCACAGGGTTCGTTCCCTCTGGGGACACCCTAGTCCATTCCGCCTACAACAACCAAAATAGATGTTGCTGGAAAAGTTCAGCAGGTCTGACAGCATCTGTCAAGAAAAATCAGAGTTAAAATTTTGGGTCTGGTGACCCACAACCACCAACACCACCTCCCCCGCATGGTACCTACCCATGTAACCACAGAAGGTGCAAGATCTTCAACTTCACCTCCTCCCTGCTCACCATCCAAGAGCCTAAACAGTCTTTTCAGGTGTAGCAGCATTTCACCTGTACCTCCTCCAATCTTGTGTACTGTATTTGCTGCACCCAATGTGGCCTTCTCTACATTGGAGAAATCAAAAGCAAACTGGGTGACCGCTTTGCAGAACACCTCTGGTCTGTGCGCAAGCATGACCTCAAACTTCTCATAGCCAATCAGTTTAACACAGCATCCTGCTTGCATGCCCATGTGTTTGGCCTTGTCATGCTGCTGTGTTCCAGTGAATCACAGTACAAACTGGAGTAACAAACATCTAATTTTCAGATTAGGCACTTTACAGCCTTCTGCACTTAATATTGAGTACAACACCTTCAAATTGTGAACTAACTCCCATTTCTTTGCTTTCTTTTAACTTGATAAATTTTGTTATCATGTCCTTTCTCCCCTCCCACCATCCCAGTGGGACTCTCTGCCCTTTCAGGTCTGGCAGGAGACACTCCATTGTTCTGCCATTCTCACATTCTGATCACTTAATCTGAACTATCAACATCTTTTCTTCACCAGCACCCTACACCCATTACCCCAACAAACCACACCCCCCAGACTATAGCATAATGTTGTCCCCTTACACTTCACTTTAGCCCTGATGAAGAGTCGTCTAGACTCTGAACTTCAGCTTGCTCTCTCTCCATGAATGTTGTCTGACTCACTGTGAACCCCAGCATTTGTTGTTTTCAATGCCAAGAAGAAGATTTTCATTTAGTCCAATGAACAACGAATACGAAGCTAAGTCTATTTAAAGCTGTCTCAATGTATGATATAGGTTGAAGGAAATTACCTGAAAAACGTTATTCTATCTTTTTAAAACAACAGGTCACAAGCAGCCAAGACTGGTTGGTGGAGTGGATGAATGTTCTGGAAGGTTGGAGATACAGAAAGGAATGACTTGGGGGACTGTGTGTGACTCACATTGGGATTCACTGGATGCCCGCATAGCTTGCGAATCATTGAAATGTGGGGAAGTGATATCAGTACTCAGTGGGACTCAGTTTGGAGAGGGCAGTGGTCCCATATGGCAGGATGTCTACGAATGTCAGGGTAATGAGACACTTATCTGGGACTGCCCCATCACATCAAGCAATCAAAAGAATTGCACACACAGCCATGATGTCAGTATCATTTGTTCCGGTAAGTGCTTCATTCCTTCGAAAACTTAAATTCAAGAGGACCATGAACAGTTTAAAAACTGTCCATTTTTTCTTGTAGATTCAATTCACTTTTTCTCTTCACCTCTCATATTTATATGAGAAGCATACAAACATACAAATCCAAAGCAGATTCCTAAGTAGGTCATTGAGCTCCTCAGGCCTACTCTGCCATTCAATGGGTGATCTGATTATAACTTTAAATCTGGCCCTGTCTTCCCCTAAAATTCCTTCACCCACTTGCTTGTCAAGAACTTATCCACTTCTACTTTAAAAATAGTGAAAGATTAATTTTTCAACTCTTCAGGAACAGAGTTCCAAAGATTCACAGAGAGAAAAATATAATCAATACATCTCTGTCTTAAATGAACAATATCTAGTTCTAGATTTTCTCATAAGTGGTAACATCATCTCCACAGCTTACCTGACAAGACCCTCTGTATCTTTTATATTTCAATCCAGTTGCCTCTTACTGTTCTAATCTCCAGGAAGTACAAGCCTAAACTGCCCATTGTTTTTTTCTAATGTAACAACCCCATTCCAAATATTATTCTAGTAAACCATCTATGAGTTATCTCTAACACACTTATATCCTCCCTTACATAAGCTGACCAACACTGTGCAAAGTACTCCAGTTGCAGTGTCATCTGTGCCCTGTATAAACTAAGCATAACCTTCCTACATTTGTATTCAATTTCCTTCCCAATAAGTGATAATATTCTTTCCTGATTACTTGCTGTAACTGTGTACTAACAATTTACAACTTATGCATGATTACACCCACACACCTCTGCAGCTCAGCGCTCTGCAATCTCTCACCATTTAGACCATATGATTCTTTTTCAATCTCCTCGTTAGTTCAGAAATATTAAATTTGGAACCGAGAAATTTACACAGATTGTTAACAGTTACAACCCCAAAATTAATATTCATGGCATTCCACTGGTAACATTCTGCCATCTAGTCAATTATCTGTCTTTCCTATTCCCCACTATTAGTTTTATAACAAATTCTCAATCCAAAGCAAAATATTATGCTCAATCTTCAGTGCCCTAATTTTATGTCCTAATTGCCTGTCTAGGATCTAGTTAAAAAAAAAACTGCCAGAAATTCAAATATACCACATATGGCAAATCATTTTTTTTTTCAGTCCATAAAATTTATTGAACGGTTACTATCTGAAAGGTGTGACAAGTAACTTCTTCAAAAAGCTCCATCAGGTTTATTCAACATCGTTTCCTGTTCATAATCTATCTTGACTCTACTGAAATATACAATTGTTTTTAAATGTGTCATTTTCACATTTAAAAAAAATTCTAAAATTTTCGCCACTAGTAATATCAAACTAATTGCTGTGTCATTTTCTAGTTTATCTTGCACCCCTACCCCCCTCCCCAACAAGTACTATGATGTGGAGGTGCTGGTGTTGGACTGAGGTGGACAAAGTCAGAAGTTACATAACACCAGATTACAATCCAACAGGTTTATTTGTATTTACAAGCTTTCAGAGCACTGCTTCTTCATCAGGTGATGTTCTTTACTTGACGAAGGAACAGTGCTCCGAAAGCTTGTGATTTCAAATAAAACATGTTGGGCTGTAACCTGATGTCGTGTGACTTCTGACTTCTTAAATACTGATATTATTTTTGCTGCTTTCTGGCCTGCAGGCATATTTCCACAATCTATTAAGTTTTGAAAGATAATTACAAATGCATCTATAATCTCTAAAGCCACTTTGTTTATTTGCTCTGGCTTGTCCCTGGTCTAGTCCAGGAATTTATCAGCCTTCAGTTCTGTCAGGTTTTCAACTGCATGCATGGATTAATGCCTATTTCTTGCAGTTGCTTATTTTGACACTTCCATTGGTTTCCTAGGATTTCCTGGAGATTTGTTGTATCGCCCTCTTTTAAGAAAGACATAATTGGTTACTTTCACCGTCATTTCCCTAATCTCCATTATAAATTCCCCCATAGCTGACTGTAATGGATGTTTTTGTACCAGCTAATCTATTCCCTGTCTCATGACTTGGAAAGCTGTTGCAGCCCACCTTTATATTTCTGATTGCTTGTAATTATATCTTCCTTTCCCTTTCTTTATCAATTTCTTGGTTATCCTTTACAGGATACTAAATTGATTCTGTTTCTTCAGACTCCCATTTTTTTTGTCACCTTTACAGTCCCCACTTTCTTTGCTTTAATTTGATCTTTGACACCTCTCGTTGGCTACATCTGCCTTTCCTTTTCTGTGTCATAGAGGAAATATACTATTTTGCAGCTCGTGCAATCCTTTTCTAAATACTATGATTATCTGATTAATGTCAAATCTGCTAGTGTAATCCACCACAGTAAAATCTCATACTTTCATAATATGCTTTGTTCAGATTAGATAGTAATTTAAGAATTGAATGTATTACTTTCAAATTTAATGTGAAACTTGATAGTATTGTCAGCACTATTTTAGAAGATTTCTTTTCAGCAAACGGTTTGATTATCCCATTCTAGAACGTAAAACAACATCCAGAACAATCCTTGTTATTTCTTCAATGTACTAATTCGGAAAGATATCTTATACACACATCAGGAATTCATATGCCACACTGTTAAAAGCTGATTATGCTTACCACATTCATAAGTAAATTGAAATCATGCATTATTACTATGTTATCCAGAAGACATGCACCACTAATTTTCTTCTTTCTACCATGCCCAAAATTACAACTACTGTTTGGTGATTGATGAACAAATCTCACCAGTTTCTTTTGTAGATCTTTGTTATTGCTTAGCTCTACCAAAACTTATTTTATATCTGTAAGATGCACCTAATGAGTTTTTATTAACAGCACTGCACCACCTCTTCTTTTTTACTTATTCTTCCTAAACATTGCATTTTTTTGAATATTTGTTCCCTTGGCTTTGCCACCTTAACCACATGTTTGAAACTGAAACTAAGTCATACCAATAATCTTAGTTACTTTGTTACTAGTATTGCATGCATTCAGATGGCATGCCCTTAACTTTGTCTTTTTCATGTAACTGCACATTCTGATCCTATTTGATTTTTGTATTCACTTTGTCTTCTAATCTTGCTTGCTACTTTTTTTACGTCCAGTTACCAATTTGTTTTTCCTCACGATTTCTTCTCCAGCCAACCTAGTTTGAACTGTTCACAACAGCAGCAGAAAATCACAGCACGAGATTGTCAGTTCTGATTCTGATACGGTACGACACATTCATCTTGTAAAAGTCCTTCTTGCCTCAGACTGATCCCAAAACCTTAGAAAGCCTGCAGCCGACAACAATTATTTAGCCAAGTGCTCAATTGCTTTATGTTTCTATTCACAAGTTCAAAAGACTGTGGTACTGGGAATAATTCTGAGATTACAGCTTTTAAATTCTTAATTCTAAATCTCTTGCTAAAATTGACTTTCAGGATCTCATCCCTTTTCATACCTATGCTATTGGCGCCAATGTGGAACATAAACACTGACTGTTCATTCCCCTCCAGAATAATGTCACACAGTTGCTATGTACCATCCTTGCTGTGCGACCAGGGAGACAAAATTCATTCCAGAGTCAAATCTACAGCTACTGAAACACCTGTTAGTTCCCATTCCATGGATACTCTATCACTATTGCTGTTCTATTCTTCTTCCTCCCCAACTGCACAGCCCAACCAAGGTACATGATATTTCCATGACTTCCCATATGGTATAATAGGCCCATTCCACTGAACCATGTTGCTCCACCATACATCAACTGTACCTTTACAAGTGACTTATTGGAAGAAGATTAATATACTAGCCATTCACAAATCAGCATCTCACATTTTAAGTAATTAGGAACCAAATCCTAAAGGGTGAGAAAGGTAAAGAAAAGAAAACTTTCTTTACCCTCCGTGAAATCTTCACACTCACTAAATGCACAGCTTCTCACGCAGTCCTGACTGGACTCAATGCACTTTAACCGCTATAATTTCATAAACTTAGATAGAAAGCACAGTCAGTTGCTCTACAGGTACAGAAACTAGATTAAATTACTTAACTAATGAACTAATCACAACAGCTCTGTACTGGAGGACTTCTTTACATATATGTGGAATAAACTTAAACTTAAGTTAGATGATAAATGCAGGCAGCTTTAGATTTTCGGAAAAAGATTGAACCTCAGTCAGCATACTCCCAGCTTCTATCAAAATATAAACTATACATCTTTCCTAGCAAGTGTTCTAGAAGGTTTTCCACTCCAGTTCTCTCACTGTGGTGCTTTAGTGATCCAGCGATACAATGGATGAGAACCTGCTTCTGTGATCATTTTAGAGCTTTTCTATAATTTCTTCATTTTCCTCATTAGAATGTTTACTTTTGTGCACTCTTGGATATTAATTGAGGTGAATATTTCCTGACTGAATATAAATCAGCTTGAAAAATAATCACTGTTTTTGGAAAAAGGTCAGAAGGGACCACGATTAGTTGGTGGTGATAATACCTGTTCAGGAAGAGTGGAAATACTGATGGGTGACACCTGGGGCACAGTTTGTGACACCCACTGGGATTTACAGAATGCAAATGTTGTCTGCAATCAACTTGGTTGTGGGACTGCAATATCAAGTCCTGGTGGCGCATTCTTTGGAGAAGGAGATGGTTTGATATGGATGGATATCATTGAATGTAGTGGCAATGAAATGCGCTTGACAGACTGCCCCATTGCATCCTGGGGACACCATCGGTGCACACACAAAAATGATGCTGGTGTCATCTGCTCAGGTAGGCATTTCTTCATTACCTAATATCAACTATTTTCATAATTATATGGTCATATATTTGTACATAGAAATGTCCTGCTTAAGTTTTATATGAGCATGAATTGAGAGACTGTAGAGTAAGTAGCTTCCGGTGACCAAGATGTCAGAGTTATATTTCTTACTTCATTTCTTCCTCATGTTCACAAGAAATTAACATTAATGCATTGAACACTTCCTCTGGGGGGGGTGTGGCAAAAGGTGTAGTGTGACAGCTATAAATCTGCACAGTCTGTGTGCACCTGATGTGATACTGTTGAGTTCACACCCTGACTATTTGTTGGAATCTCAGATCCAGATGTGTGGTGTAACAACTTTTCATATTTTTTTTAATCAACCTGTTTAATCGCTACAAACCTCTGGAGTAGGTAGGACTTGAACCTGGGAGTCCTAGCTCGGAGTTAGGAATACTCTCACTTCTTTACGAGAACCATTCAAATTTTGAAATGTTTTCTCTCATAAAGAACTCTCCATGTTTTCTAACCTACCTGTTTAGAGATGATATTACACAACTCTGGAACAGGTGGAACTTGAACTCAGGCCTCCTGGCTTAGAGGTGAGGACATTACCTATTGCACAAAAGAGCTTCACCATAACCAGTTTTCAATACTATATGCTTAATCTCAGCTAGATGTGAGCACTTTGGATTGAAGTGTGTGCTCCTAACTCAGTTAAAAGTTGATGAGTGCACCTCCTGCCTATGTGACCATATGTAGATACCAAGTTGATAAAATTGATGGTGTAGTGTACAGTGAGGAATATTATCTCAGAGTACAACAGGACCTTGATCAGATGGACCAATGGGCTGAGGAGTGACAGATGGAGTTTAATTCAGATTTATGTGAGATGTTGTATTTTAGTAAGGCAAGCCAGGGCAGGACTTATACAGTTAATTGTAGGGCCTTGGGGAATGTTGCCAACCATAGATACCTAAGGGTCCAGGTGCATAAATTCTTGATTGTGAAATTGCAGGTAGACAGGATGGTGAAGAAGACATTTCGCTCGCCTGCCTTCATTGGTCAGTGCATTGAGTATAGGAGTTGGGGCATCATGCTGCAACTGTACAGTACATTGATGAGGCCACTTTTAGAACACTGCACTCAATTTTGTTTCCTTGCTACAGGAAAGATGTTGTTAAACTTGAAGGGGTTCTGAAAAAAATCACAAGGGGATGTTGCCGGGATTGGAGAGTTTGAGTTATATGGAGAGATTAAGTAGGCTGGGGCATTTTCTCCAGAGCATCAGAAGCTGCGGTGGGACCTTGTGGAGGTTTATAACAACATGAGGGGCATTGTTAGGATGAAAAGCCAAGGTCTTTTCCCCAGGACAGGGCAGTCCAAAACTAGCGGGAATATGTTTAAGGTGAGAGGGGAAAGATTTAAAACGGACTGGAGGGGCAACTTTTTCATGAAGAGGATGGTGCATATGTGGAATGAACTACCAGAGGAGGTGGTGGAGGCAGGTTCAATTACAGCATTTAAAAGGCATTTGGTTGGGTACATGAATAGGAAGTTTTTAGAGGGATATAGGCCAAATGCTGGAAAATGGGACTAGATCAGTTTAGGATATCTGGTCAACAAGGACAAGGTAGACCGAAGGATCTGTTTCCCTGCTATATAACTCCATGGCTGTCTGATTCAATGATTCAGTCTAGACTAGGTGTCTAAAGCTTAGTTTTAAAGCACACTGGGAATAATATTTAGCACACCAGATATCACATGTTGACTATATGTCTGCCACAAATTTATTTGAATTCAAGCAATGTTCACAGGGCTAAATTATAGAGAAGGTATTCATTGAAATTATTTTTATCCTCGTGCATTGAAAGAGTGGTTTGATTGACTTTAAATATTGTGAAAGAAACAAATAGCGTAAATTTTTTTTTTACCTGCCCATGATAGAATCTAAGACAAAGGGATATTAAATTGCAATCATAACCATTCAGGGGGAATAAGCGAAGAAGCACTGCTTCACCAACAGTGGAAGGAGTGTGGATCTCCCTCAACTCCAAACTGAGAAATAGCAATGGATGCCACCTATCATGTCAAATTTAAATGCCTACACCCTGAAAGAATAAAAAAAATTGGAAAGTAGTCACCTGAATTGCAGTCTGAAAGTTCAACTGACAATATATTTCTCTGATTCCGATTTGCTTGCCTGCAAAGACCTTATCCTTCTGACCACAGCAGCTATGACTGAGGGTTTTGAAACATTAATCTTCCAGAGTGTCTCTGCCTTACAGATAGGGGCTACATTCTCCACTTGCTTTCTATTCTCTGTTTATTAACTTGGCAATAGATAATTTATGCAATAAGATTATTGGTCATAATTTATGTTGAGATGATGTATTTTTGAAACATTACATTCACATTGTTTATAAAATTGCATTCCAACAGGTGAAGATTGGCAGTTACGCCTGGCTAATGGAGAGAGTCCTTGTGAAGGTCGTGTGGAAGTTTATTATAATGGTGTTTGGGGGAGAATGATTGACACTGAGTGGAATTTCAATGAAGCAGAAGTGGTGTGCAGACAGCTGAATTGTGGCTCTGCAATAAACATTTACAGCCACTCGAAGTTTGGAAAAGGCACCGGACCAACCTGGATTGGTAATGTCAGGTGCAATGGAACTGAACCCTCCCTGCGGAATTGCACTTTTACAAAAATGGAGCAGTCATCTCTTGCAGATGACGTGGGAGTGGTTTGCTCTGGTACGACCTTCTTTATTTCCTCATACATAACCATTGTCCTGTTGCCAGCAATGGGATAAAGTTCCCCAGAGTCGATAATAAATAAAATAATGTATTCAGCAGAAACGAGTGGTTTCAGATAGTGTCAAGGACTTTGAAGTCGCAAACAGCTGAGGCTACTGCACTGATTCTTGCATGGGAAGCTAACTGCAATTATGAGCGAGATATATTTACGAGAATAGGGTGATTGTCTTTCACGAAGATGACTGAGAAGAGATAAGAATCATACAGCTGTTGGTCTGAACAGGCCATTTCTGTGTTGTAAATACCTTTCAATGGTTATGAAGTGTGCAAATTAAAAATGATAGGATGAGTGACCTATGCATTAGAGGCAAACTGTACTTCAGCCCTTTATTATGCTGATCGTTGAACTTCCATGACCTCGCACACAGAAAAATAATCTCAGATTTAAGTAAGACATGGAACAACATAAAATTTTCCCGTTCCAAGTAATAGCCATTCTGGTCTTTTTTTCATTTATAAAATGTCCAACCTTGCACAACTTAATCCATAATTGACATTAAGCAGGTAGTGGGCAGTTGCTCTCATGAACAGCTACTTGAAATGTAGAGGTAGGCCTACAGTTTTGTTAGGGAAGGAATTGTAGGATGTTGACTCAGGAACTTGAATGTAATGGAGATACAGTTCCAAATCAAAATGAGTGTGCGCCTTGCAGGGGAACTTGCAGGTCCATGTACTTGTTTCCCCTCTACATCTAAATCATAGAGGTCCCCGGTTTGGAATGTGCTGTCAAAGGAGTCTTGACGATTTATTGCAGTACTTCATGTGGAAGGCACACACTACAACCAGTGTATAATGATGGTGAAGGGAGTGAATTCTGATATGGGGGGATGGGTTGGGGGATGGGGTGCAAAATAAGTGGTTTGTTTCTACTGGATAGTGTTAAGCTTCATGAGTTTTATACATCCAAGGAAGTTGAGAATTTTCCTTTTTGCAGTCCTGCTTGAGGATGGTGGATGGGCTTTGGGAATAAAGGAGATGAGTCATTTGCTAAGGAATTCTGAGCTCTGGCCCACACTTGTAATTGTAGTATTTAAAATAGCTGCTTGTACACCTGTATGTTCCAAATGTTACTTGACACTAATCAGCCCAACCCTGGATGTTTTCCAGGTATTGCAGAATATGGCGCAAGATATTTCCATATCTGGTCGGTCATGAGAAGGGCTGTACATTGCACAATCATCAATGTTTCCATTTCCGACCTTATGATGTAGGGAAGGTAAATTCTGTAGGAGCTGATGATAGTTTGCCCAAGCACTCCACCTGTGAAGATCCTTAAGTGATGACCTGGTGCTGGGATGCTTGACCTCCAATAACACAACCATCTGCCCCAGTTATATAGTAATATATTTTCCTTATTAATTTGAAAATACTCCAAAGGATATTTCTATTTTTAGCTGATCATCAAATCTATAGGAACATAAGAAACTAAAAAATAAGAACAATAATAGTTGATTGGTCTTCATGAGCAATCAGCCAGTTAGTGGCTGATCTGATTGTATCACCCACCACCACCCTCCTCCGCTTGGCCGGGCTCGTCCTCACCCTCAACAACTTCTCTTTTAACTCCTCTCATTTTCTTCAGGTAAGAGGAATGGCCATGAGTACCTATAAGGGCCCTAGTTATGCCTGTCTCTTCATGGGGTACGTGGAACATTCCTTGTTCCAGTCCTATTCTGGCCCCCACCCATGACTCTTTCTCTGATACACTGATGGTATCATTGGTGCTGCTTCCCTCTCTCATCTGGAATTGGAAAACTTCATCAATTTTGCCTCCAATTTCCACCCTGCCCTCACTTTCACCTGGTCTATCTCTGATTCTTCTCTTCCCTTCCTCAACATTTCTGTTTCCATTTCTGGGGATAGACTGGCCACTCATATCCACTACAAACCCACTGATTCCCACAGCTACCTGGACTATACATCCTCACCCCTTACTTCCTGTGAAGACTTCATCCCATTCTCTTAGTTCCTCGGTCTCTGTTGTATATGTTCAGATGAGGCCAACTTCGACAAGGGAGCCTCCAAAATGTCCACCTTCTTCCTCAACCGAGGATTCCCCAGCTTCGTTGTCAACAGGGCCCTCAACCAGGTCCAACCTATCTCCCGCACTTCTGCCATCACCCTTTCTCTTCCCTCCTGCAACAGCAATAGGTTCCCCTTGTCCTTACCTACCATCCCACCAGCATCCAAATCCAGATGATCATTAGGCGTCATTTCTGCCACCTCCACCTCCAGCAAGATGCTATCACCAGACACGTATTCCCCTCCCCTCCCTTTTCCGCCTTCAGACACCCTGGTCCACACTTCCTTCACCCTCCCCCAACACCCACCCCCCCTCCACCCCACCCCACAGCCCTATGGCACCTTCCCCTGTAAACGGTGAAGGTGCAACGCCTGCCCATTTACCTCCTCCCTCCTCAGTATCCAAAGGCCCCAACATACCTTCCAGGTGAAGCAACACTTCACCTGCACTTCCCAGAATCTAGACTACGGCATTTGCTGCTCACATTGTGGTCTCCTCTACACTGAGGAAATGAAGTATAGACTGGGTGACCGCTTCACAGAACATCTGCATACTGCTCGCAAGAAAGACCCTGAACTACCCATTGCCTGCCACTTTTAACGCACCACCCTGTTCCCTGGCCAACATCTCTGTCTCTGGCTTGCTGCAGTGTTGTAGCAAAGCTCAATGCGAGCTGGAAGGACAACACCTCATTTTCCGCTTGGGGACCCTGCAGCTCTCCGGACTCGATATCGAGTTCATTAATTTTAGGGCCTAAACTCTCCCATGTCCCAGCCCCCCACCCCACACACCAGGCCTCATTACCACATAGCTGCCATTACACACTACCTGTTATTAGTCACTAATAGTCCCCATTAACAACTATTCACCCTCCCAGCCTGATCGTTATCAACTCTTTGTCTGTCCAACTGCTCTTCTCTCTCTTTAGGCTCTATCGTATCATTTACCCCCCAACCCAACCCCTTCCCCTTTTTTCGCATATAAACTGATGTTTTCCCAGCCACTATCAGTTCTGAGGAAGGATCACTGGACCTGAAATGTTAACTCTTTTTCCCTTCATTGATGCTGCCAGACCTGCTGAGCTTTTCCAGCAACTTTGTTTTTACTCCTGATTTAAAGCATCCGCAGTTCTTTTGTTTTTTTTAAAGAATTCCGCTTGCTTGGACCACAGATGTTGCTATGTTGTACAGTTGAACAGTGGAAGGAACCAAAAAGACCCAGCTGAAACATTGGCAGCAGTCTGTAATTACAACTTGACAGGTTTATATTTTATAAGTGCTCAGTGGAAGTAACATTTCGCTATATGTGTGCCCAAATATTTCATTAATGTAATTTAGGAAGGGAAATTTTGTGCTGTCCAGCCCGACCAGTACATCCCAACCATAATGGGTTCGATTTCTATGCCTTCAGCACAACCTAGCCAACTAATTAGCTATTGTCCTACCTTTAGAAACATGGCTACAGAAGGACAAGAAATGTCATTTGTGCTGTGACATCCATATGAGGAAACGGATTTTAAAACTTACAGGTATACGCTTAAGGAGTCAGATTCGGATGGAATTCAGTTCTGCAATATTAACATCACAGGGGTAGCCATTACTTCACACTCTTCTTTCAAACCTATTATTAGCTATAGCACTGTAATATTTGAATTGTGAATAGTTGCAAATGACTTTTTTAAGCAGTTAGTTTTCATTTTGAATGTGACGTAGGAATTGATATCAGAAAAATAAAGGTAAAACATGTTGACAGAAATAAAGCTAACAGGATGTTGCAAGGAAATTAATGAGAAACAATCCGTAATTGTGGAATAAATCGACTGTAAAGAAAGCAGGGACAAAAACAGAAGTTGCGGCTCTGAGGAAGGGTCACCGGAATCGAAACGTTAACTCTGATTTCTCTTCACAGATACTACCAAAGCTGCTGTGCTTTTCCAGCAATATCTGTTTTCGTTTCTGATTTAGAGCATCCACAGCTCTCTCGGTTATCAATTTGTAAAGAAGGCAGGAATTGTTTCTTGCACCAGAAACTGTCTAATTATTGAGATAACAAGGTGTAGAGCTGGATGAACACAACAGGCCAAGCAGCATCAGAGGAGCAGGAAAGCTGACATTTCGGGCTTAGACTCTTCTGAATCTTGTTATCTCAGATTCTCCAGCAACTGCAGTTCCTACTATCACTGTCTAATTATTCCTGTCTTGCAGATCATTTTCAGATAAGATTGGTGAATGGTGGAAGTCGCTGTGCTGGAAGAGTGGAGCTTTACTACAATGGAAGCTGGGGAACTGTATGTGATGATTCCTGGGATTTAGCAGACGCCCAAGTTGTCTGTAACCAGCTGAAGTGTGGGCAGGCTTTAAACGCAACAGTTTCCAGTTGGTTTGGTCCAGGACTGGGGCCTATTTGGTTAGACAATGTGAACTGCAACGTGAATGATTCTGTCTTGTGGAACTGTCTGGCGGGGCCGTGGAGTGAGAGCGACTGCAAGCATAAAGAAGATGCTGGAGTTATCTGCTCGGGTGAGGTGTGCTTTCAGATATTTGCTGGTCGATAATACAGGGATGTAACAAACAAGGGATGTAGATATTTAGTTATGATAATCAAATTATACACTTTGTTTTTGCTCAATGCTGTTGATAATGTAGGAACGGCTTTGGTTTGCTCACACGACAGCAAAATTTAGACAGCAAAAAAAGAGACAGTAGAGTACCTTCTAAATTAAATTTTACGACATAGGTCTTATTTTAAAAGGCCACGTGGACAGCGTTAAATAACAGAGTTGACAACGACCAGTGCCAGTCCAAGATGTAAGTGGTTTATTCACATGCATGCGGGAAGCAGCTCAAACGCTCTGCACCGAGTTACAAATAGTAACGGATTTTATACATAAAACAATTACACACTCCATTCCGGCCAAAAACCTATCACTAACCTTGGTGTGTACATTCCATCTTTTAACTGTTAAATAGATGTTTAATCATGACTTTTCGGTGTCTGAAAAACCTTAAACAAAGTGCAGTTTTACTACAGTTAACCAAGATTAACATTTTCAAAGCTGAACATTTGTTTCCTGAAGACAATAAAAAGTGTACATATTTTCGTTATAGTATTCCATTGTAGCCTAAGCGACTAACTTTCTAATTCGTCCTTACTGAATGGCATGTAATATCCTGGTTGGTCAGGAAATACAAGTCCCGACCTTTGACTTCAAGAATTCGTACTAAGACTTACACCAGGGAGATGTCCTGGAGCTCAACGGATTTTCAAGTTAAACTATGCGCAGGCCCCAAGTCGTTTTCGGAGATCAATTTGCCTCCTTGTATCCTGACTCCCCTTATCTCAGCATCACAGATTCGGTCTCCTTCCCTGTTTACCGGTAAACTCGCTTTTTCAGCAGTGGACGGGTCTCAGCAGTTTCTCAAGGGAGTGGTGGGGCTTAGGGGAGTACTGGAGGCGGGGAAGGCAAATCTTGCATCTTTCATTTCCTTCTCCCTCATGTCATTATTCAGGGGTGTCAGTTATTTTTCACCCTGTGTGCTTTTCTACTTTATCCCTTTACATTAATACAAAGCCGTTCTTGTCTTTTTACTTTGTTTGGGCCTTCAGCCTTCTAGGAAGCTCTTTGAAAAACTGTCTTCTGACATTAACATCAGTCTGTATCAGAAAACTTGATCTTTCCTTTGCATATTTGCAGCAGTGAGATTTGAATGGAAAAGAATATTAAAGTTTTCATTTTTGTTCCACAGAGCACAGGGCTGTGAGACTGCAGGATGGTCCGACCCTCTGTCAGGGCAGAGTCGAGGTTTTCCATAATGGGACCTGGGGGACAGTTTGTGCTGATTCCTTCAGAATGGAGGAAGCGGAAGTTGTTTGTAAACAGCTCAGCTGTGGTTCTGCCCAATCTGTGGAAAGTGCTATTACATTTGGAAGCGGTTCTGGACAGATCTGGCTCGATGATGTGAACTGTCGTTTGCATGATACACTCCTGTGGCAATGTCCATCTTCACCATGGGGCCAACACAATTGTAACCACCAGGAAGATGTCGGAGTCATTTGTTCAGGCAAGAACGGGAAATGGAACAAAAACAAAGTTGCTGGAAAAGCTCAGCAGGTCTGGCAGCATCTGTGGAGGAGAAAACAGAGTTAACGTTTCGGGTCCGGCCCTGAACGGTCACCGGAGCCGAAACGTTAACTCTGTTTTCTCCTCCACAGATCTTTTCCAGCAACTTTGTTTTTGTTCCTGATTTACAGCATCCGCAGTTCTTTTGGTTTTTATTTAACGGGAAATGGACTCTGTTTCTGTTGAAATATTTTGCGCACATTCAAGTGTTTGTATCACACGTAAATTTAAGTTCATTCAAATTTCTGTTGCTTATGTTTCATATCACATTCTTGTTCTGTGAGCTGCATGGACACCTGGCTAAGCAGCGAATTGATTTTTAAATTCTCATCCTCATTTGTAAGTCCCTCCATAGTATTACTTCTCTTAATTTTTGTATTCTCATCAAGTCCCACAATCCTCCAACATATCTGATTTCCACTAATTATTGCTTCTTCTGCATTTCCATTTATAAACGATCCACAATCTTTGGGGCTGTATACAGCGGACATGATCTCAAATCATAACCCTTGCCCAACATGCCTCTGTTTCTTTAAATCGCTTTGTCTTTTACATTATCAAAGAGGTACATTTTAAGGATAAACTTTTTATCATCTGACCCAATATCACTGTACGCCTCTGTGATAAATTTAGTTTTATGATGGCCCCCAAGAAGTACATTGGGACATTGCTGTATAAGTTGTTGTTGAAGTAATGTTTGGATTTTTTTCCAGAACGAAGTCCAATGAAACGAGACATTGAGGGGGATACGAAGAAAAGTGAAATGCGACCTGTCCCAGAACATTTTGGTAATTATTGATAAGGATATTAACATATGCTGTATGATAGCATTTTTTCTTTTTTTTAAATGTATGTTTATATGGTTCTTTAACTGCATCCATTATCTCAACTTTTGCACAACAAAATCAATTATTTTGCATACAGTATTGAGTGCTCTTGATAGAGTTAAGTGCAGTGCTTGATTACCTTTGATCCAGTTTATTTTACCTTTGCCAGGATTGATTACATTGAGTATAGTGACTCAATGGCATGCTTGGTAATTCAGTTTTGCTAATCATTTGAAAGCCTTGAGGGAATAATCCATAGACCAAATATTGGGAAAAAGAAATGATTCATGAGTCTGATCCAGGCAGCACAACATTACCTGTCAGAATTCCATATTAGAATTCAACATATGCTCCCTTTCAGGACCTATTCAACATTATGAATTCTGGCACACATACTTCATAACAATTGCACATAGGTGTATGTCAGGCTTTTAACTGCAGTCATTGGGCCAAATTAAAATGAATTTGCTGCCACTTCCATATTTTAAACTCCCTCATTAACCATTTCTAACAGTGAACTGTTATCTTTCACGATATGCATTGGCTAAATAATTTAGCTTTATTAATTGCAGTGAATTATCCCAGAACTGTGAGTTTGTTTTAATCATCCATGAAATGTGGGTGTCGCTATTAAGTGCAACATTTATTGTTGATTCTTAATTGCACTTAAAGCAGTTGCTGTGATTTGTTTCCTTGAGTCACAGTGTCCTTTGGACACCCATGGTGCTGGCATAAAGGGATTTATCTGATTGTTATTGAGCAAAATTGAAAGAGTTCCAAGACAGTACAGTAAATTGCTTAGAGGGGAACTTGCAAGTTGTGGTGTTAGCATGCACCTGGTACTCTTCTCTGCCTAGGCGACAGAGGTTGTGAATGTGGAAACTGCTGTTGAATGAACCTCAGAGTGTTACTGACGCTTTTGGGTGATGCACACCACTGCCTGTCAGTTTTTTGTACATTTGTTCATGTTGAGTAGAAATTGCTGGCTAGGCTGACATTTATTGGCCATCTGTAATTGTTCTGGAGAAGATGTTGGTGAAAAGTCTTCTTGAAACGTTGCACTCCTTGATGAAGGCAGTAATGATTGACGACAATTTATAGCATACCAATCAAGTGAGCTTGTACACCATGAATGATGTCAAGCTTCTTGTGTGTAATTAGAATCGTACCCATCCAGACAAGTGGAGAGTAATTTGCCATTCTCCTGATTATGCATTGTAAGTGGTGGACAAGTGGTGAAGAGACTGAAAGAGAGTTATTTAGCCACAGAATGTCACACTCTGACATACACTTGTAACAACAGTATTTATTTGGTTATTTCAATTCAGTTTCTGTTTCCAGAAACTTTAACCCCTAAGTGGCATCAAACAGTGGCATGTGGGTTGGTATTTGGAGCAGGGCAAATAAAATAAAATTATTAATTTGAAAGTTGGTAATCCAAGTTCTTACTCATACTTTTTTTCTGCAGAATTACGGCTAGTTGCAGGATTTGATAATTGTTCTGGAAGAGTTGAAATATTCTTCAACAGTACATGGGGAACAGTTTGTGATGATTCCTGGGATGAGCAGGATGCTGCTGTTGTCTGTAGGGAATTAAATTGTGGCCACCCAGTGTGGACTTTGGGAGGAATGATATTCAACCAAGGAAATGGCACAATTTGGATGGACGAGGTTAAATGCAAAGGAAATGAATTATTCCTGTGGGACTGCCAATTGCCAACTATGGGCGATCACGACTGTGATCATAAAGAGGATGTCAATGTGATATGTTTTGGTAAGCCTTTTTGAAAGTGAATCATTTACTATTCACCATTCTTCCCTTTAAAGCTTCCATAACTACATTCACTCAGCTGAATTGTATTTAAATTATTACTTAAGGGTAATTCTAATGATAAAAAGAATGACTTAGCTCTGGTCAGGTAATGCCGAATCAAAGCAACAAATATCTCAATTTGATCAGCTGGTTGTATCACAAGGAAGCATGTGAGGCAGATTTTCCCTGTGTCTCTATTAATTAGTTTTTCTTTCAGGCCCGCAGAAATTCACAGCACCCTTCAAGCAGGAAAGAACCCCTATTTTCATCATCCCCTGTGTTTTTGTTATCCTTTTGATTGCTGTGTCATTTGCTTTGGCTGCAGAATTACAGAGAAGCTTCCAGAAAGGTCGGTTAATTTCCCATTAATATTGCTGCACCATAAATGGAGAGTCTGATTCCTGCACAATTGTTGTTCTTCAATTCTTATAGTTTACAATGTAGTCACACAAGATAAATTACAGAGGTGATGTACTGTGAAATTGCCATGATTGGAAATTTTTAGCCCTTGAGGAAAGGACATGTTTGATTTGGTCAAGAACTGGCCTGGGCTCAACCATTTCATATGCTTCATCAATGACTTCTTTTCCATCATAAGGTCAGAATTGGAGATGTTCAATGGTTATTACACAATTCATGGCTATTCAGATACTAAAGCAGTTCATATCCAAATGAAGGAAGGCTTGGCAAATATCCAGTCTTGGGCTGAGAAATGGCAAGTAATATTCATGGCACGCAAGTGCCAGGCAATGACCATCTCTAAAAAGAAACAATCTAATCACTGCCCCCTTGACATTCAATAGCATTACCATCACTGAATCCCCTACTATCAACACCCTGGGATTACCACTGACCAGAAACTGAACTGCAATAGCCATATAAATACAATGGGTTGAAAAGCAGGTCAGATGCTAAGAATACTGCACCAAGTAACCCACCTCCTGACTTCCCTAAAGCTGGTCCATCATTTACAAAGTACAAGTTAGAAGTATGATGAAATACTTCCCATGTGCCTGGATGAGTGCAGCTCAAATAACATTCAAAAGCTTGGTATCATCCAGGACAAACAGTGGCCCACTTGATAGGCACTACATCCATAAATATTAAATCCCTCCAACACTGATACTGAGTAGCAACAGTGTGTGCCATCAACAAGATGTACTGCAGAAATGAACCAAGATCATTAGACAGCATCTTCCAAATCCACAGACATTTCCATCCAGAAGGGTAAGGGTGGCCATTAAATAGAAATAACACCAACTGCAAATACACTCAAAACCACTCAGCTTCCTGACTTGGAAATATATCACTGCTCCTTAACTACCAATGGGTCAAAACCCTGGAATTCCCTCCCTACCGGCATTAAGAATCTACCAAAGGTACTTGGACTGCAGTAGTTCAAGAAGGCAGCTTACCACTACATTGATAAGGGCAACTAGAGCCGGGTAATTCTGATAATGTCACCAGACTTTAAATATTAACTCTAGTTTCTCCCCACAGATGCTGCAACACCTGTTGAGTTTCATCAGCAATTTCTGTTTTTCTATTAGCCATAGATATTTGCTCATCTATATTCTACTGTCCTTGGTTCTACAGCCAACAGAAACCGACAGTATGCTACCAGCAGAGATTCTGACCCTGTTTATGAAGAGATTAAAGTTCAGGACATTGGTGCAGGTCCAGGTAAATTCTTTTTAAGAGTTATGCATATGATAACCTTTAAATTCAAGACTACAGTCCGTTAAGTTTATATGCTTACATTTCCAGAGGTTCACTCAGCAATTAATGACATGAATGTGATATACACATGCAAGTTAGGTCAAATTAAGGACCTGTAATATGCTATTCTTTGCCCCGACCCAGATAAAGAGTGACCTAAAAGAAAGGAATACCTTAAAAAAAGAAGTACGACCAATGCCTCTATGATCTCCTCAGCTATCTCCTTCACCATTCTGGGGTGTAATACTGACAAGGATTTCTGCCTACCATTGTTGCTCCACCATTGTCCCTCTAGGTTCTCCTTCCAAACAACTCTGGCTAGGTCCTCCCTCATATCTTTGTAGTTACCATCACTCAGTTGTAATACCGTTACATCTGATTCCACCTTCTCCCTCTGAAACTGTAGCATGAATTCTATGATTATGATGACATGCTTTCCCCTAGGAGTTCCATCACCTTAAGCTCCCTAATCAAGTCTGCCTGATAACACATCTTCAAATATAGAATTGCCTGTTCCCTAATGGGGCTGACCACAAACTGCTCTGCAAAAGCATCCTGTAAACATTCCAAGAATTTGTTTTCTTTGGATACACTACCAACCTGATTTTGCCAGTCCACCTGCACATTGAAGTTCCCCTATGATTATTATAATAGTGCCTTTTTTTTATCTAATCATTTATTTTCTGCCCCACATCCTGCTGACTGGTATGGGATGGTGTATAACTCCCATCAGGGTGTCTTTCTCTTTTATGCTTTGCATCTCTATATCACTTCTTGCTATTGATTTAATTTCATTTCATATGAACAAGCCAACCATGCCCCCTCTGCCCATCCCTTCAATAGGACTCTTTATCCTTGGGTATTTAGTTCCCAGCCCAGATCCCCTTGCTACCATATATCTGCGATAGTCACAAATTTGTACCAGCCAATATCAATCTGTGCTACAAGCTCATTTACTTTCTTTCATTTACTGTATGCAATTAAGAACAACCCCCTCAGTCTCACATTGATTGCCCCTTTTCTCATTGTTTTCTCCTTATTTGCTGTGCCTGAAGCTAGATACCTGGGCTTTTCCACACGCCTAGATGAGTACTGTTTCAAAAGTTTAATGATCTCTTCCGACCCAGTCCCCCACTTATTAAAATATTTCCATAATTTATGTCCCCGTCTTCACCATTTTATTTAATGTCCCATCCACAGCCCTCCATTATGTAGTTCACCAGGATCTGGTCCCTGCATGATTCAGGTGGAGCTTATCCCATCAGAACAGTACCCTCCTTCCCCAGTACTGTGCCTATGTCTAATGAATTTGGACTTGTTTCTCCGATACCAATCTTTGAGCCACATGTTTACCTCTTTAACCTGGTTGTCCCTGTGCCAATTGCCTCGTGGCTCAGTTAGTAATATAGAAATTATTATCTTTTTGGTTCTGCTTTTTAATTTCACTTTGAGCTGCTCATATTGCCTAAGCAAAACCTCTTGTTCAGTATGTTGTTACCTACAACAATTGGATCTTTCCACTTCCACTCCAGGTTCCTTTTCAGCCCAAATGAGATATCTAAAACCTGTGCATCAGGCAGGCAACACAGCCTTCAGGACTCTTGATCATGCCCACAGAGAACAGTTACTATTCCCCTGATTATACCATCCCTAATTAGAAGTATATTTCTCTTTTTGCTCTTGAATGGCTCTCTGTACCATGGTACAATGTTCAATTCTCCCTGCAGACACTAATTTCTTCTATACAGGAAGCAAGAATCTCAAGCCTGTTAGATAAGCTCAAGGACTGAGGCTCCTTCAGAATCACCTCCTAGATGCCTCTAGCTGCCTTGCTTATAGTCCCACTCTTCTGTCCCTGACCACTGACCGAATTCTACGGGTCGCGACTGCCTTCTGAAACACAGTGTCCAGGTATCTCTTCCCCCTCTCTGATGTGTTGCAGTGGTCAAAGTTCAGACTCCAGCTCATCAACTCTGAGTTACATTTCCTTGAGCCACCAACACTTGCTCCAGATGAGTTCACTATGAATTAAAATGGAGTCCACGAGCTCCCACATCAAGCATCTCTACCCTGCATTTCTACCTTATTCACTTAATTTTTAATTCATGTTTTTTAAAAATAAATCTTACTGGTCTTTTAGTTTGTAAACTGCAAATATTTCTCCTATTTATCTTCAATCTGAAAGTAATCTATAATTGTCAAATAAATAGCTGTTACTAATCAATGAACTTCTAGATTTCCTGTGATGTCACTCCAGCTCGAGTGCTGGGCCCCCAACCCTGGATTTCAATCTATCCTGTAAAAATACCTTGCAAACTATGAACCAAAAATGCAAGCAGAAAACATCTCTTTCCCCTCTATACTGAATTCCCTTGCTGCCTCCATATTCCGCAAATTATATATTCACTCCAGATGTTTCTCGCTCCAATGTGATCTCTCTTTGCTGAATGTGCACAGCTTATTTGTCTTTTCACTGGGATCAAAAGTCCATAATAATTAGGTCTATCAATTAAAGCAGTTATAATTCTTTTTTGAGTGAGTAATGGCTGAGTGGATATGTAGAATTATAGTAGTATTTAATAGTAAAACAGTTTGTAACATGATCAGACTTGTTGCTTGAAAACTGCATTCACAATGTTTGGGCTGAAGTTGAGTGTAATAAGTTTACCTGTCAACCTGTTTTCCTTTTTTTAGATTTGTTTCCTCCATCTGATGCCAAATTTGAAAGAGAATATGATGAAATTCAATAATTTGAGATGGAGTTGTGAGGACTATCACCTAAGCAAAAATGTAATTGAGGCAAAGGCTTACAACAAAGTATACTCCATTTGTTAGTTACATTTTGATAATGATTTGGCACAAATTTTCATGTTGAAAATCACAAGTTATATCCAACCAATTTAGCAATCGTTACAGATGAAAAAGCTCCAAGGAAGGTTTGATGAAAAAATTAGTAATTAATTTACAATGTGGAGAATGGTAAATCAGAACAATTTATAGATTCAGAACTAAATTTAAATCCAATCTAGATTTAATATGATTTGACTTCATTGTAGTACAAATTCTATATGTTAGAATTTATAAACGTTGATAATTTGCTTTGGAAAACTTTAGTCATGAACACCTTCTTGTATCATATTGTGCACGTGAATTACTAACTATCTAATGTTATTGTAATGACAATTGAAACTGTTGTAAAGTAGTTTAATGAAACAATAAGTGAGGCTGTTATCCTCTATTCTAAGCATACAAAATCTAATTCAGTTGCACATTGCAGGGTAGATTTTTCATTTGCAAATATGTATATATGGGAATTGTTGTTTTCTCAAAACTGTTAACAAATCTGAAATTGAACTGTTAAAGGAGAGATTCTCATTGATAATTAATTCCTTAAAGAAGAATGATTCTAATATGCTCAAAAGTTTCATTCAATTTACAACATATTTAGGTAAAACAACGTTTAGTAGGGAAAACATAAGTCTGTACATCAACATTTTCAATTGCAACCAATGAAGATGTATTGCAAAGATTCCTACATAATGACATTGAATGAATGACAAACTACCAATAAAAGAAAAGTAATGGAACTGTAATTCCATCCATGAATAAACTATAGGTGATATACTAAATAAAAGATGAAAACAAGCCAACATTATTGACTTTAAAAAGTTTATTTAATTCATTTATACAAAACTACATTTTATCATTAATTGTTACAGCCATTTCACTTAAAATTGTTTGCATTGGGAGGTTGGGAAGAGAAATCAACAAGTCTGTCCGTTGTAATTAGGATTAACATTTGTAAAAGCCCAATACAGAATCTCTGAACATGTAATATGTTTCAGTCATTCTACCAATCCAGCAATTATCATTCAATTAAAATAAAGACATTAAAATCAACTTAAATGCAATGTTTCTGCATGTATGCAAAATAAATTTGAGATCATTATTGATTTATAGCAAATTATCAATAAACACCTCAATGATAGTTGGTGGTAACTGAGAGCTGCAATCACCAAAGGTCAAACCTTTGCAAAAAAAATTGAAATAAATTTGGATGCGTCTCCAAAATAGCAATACGAATTGGTAAAATAAGACATTTTGTAGACTCTGGTACACTCAGCTCTATGTAGGTACAATGCTTTTTGATAGGAAAGTTAAGGATTCAGTTTCAATTTGAAATGTCAACTTATCATAACAATTCTAGTATGCTGCATAGAAATAACATTTATTGAATATTAAAAGCAAAATTATCAAGTGGAGTACTGAAAATATTGCTGCTAATAGCTACCCAAAAATATTTTATTCAGATCTTTTTTGAGACATGATGAAATAAAACTGTGTGAGAGACTTATTGTTGCTTGATAGCTGAAAGCATTACTGGGGTTAAACTGATCCATAAGTCCCTGGTATCTGGTTTGATTTACCCACCCTTTCTGATTACCTCAGTTTGCGCTTCACCAAGAAAATAAATATATGTTCATGTAGAGTTTTCGCAAGCTCAACATTCCCAAAGTACTTTTCAAAAATTGAAGTGCATCTTAATTTGTATGATTGCTCTGATAGGGAGTAGTCACAGGCTTTTCCTCAAGCAGGTTGATTGATGAGTCATGTCCATAATAATGGTATAGCTTTAACATGCCTAGGGTGATTTAACTCCTATCGTTAAACATTTATGATGAGTCTGCGGGCGTACACTGAATGTCCTGATGGCTGTCAAGAAAACCGACTGAACAAAACCTGTGGACTACTAGTTCATGAATCATTCCCATTGGCATAGGAGTGCCTTTGTTCCATAAGGGGAATGTGTGGTGCAGCTCAAGTTGTGTCAGTGGATGTCATAGGCCCATTCAGCCCATCAAGCCAGCTCCAGCTATCCCTCCAACCTTGCTCCTGAATGGGGGCACTTGTGAATGGATTTCATGTGGAGGTTTTACCCAGCTGGTGAGAGTGCTGCTCCTGGGGTGGTACCAATGAAGGTGTAGCGCCATGTCTATTAGATGGATTGTAATTGGTGTTCAAACTACAGATAGCACGCTCTCTCTCACTGTATGCACTTTATAATGACCCTTATCATATCCGTGGGACTTCCCCCGTGACACCTTTTACAATTCGTTCTGCTCTCCTTTTTGACGTGTCTGTGGTGAATGAGGGCTGTCAAACCATTCAGACTCTGCTGGCCTTTGGCAACAGTTGTTCCCTCCCACGCTGCTTTGTCTTTACTCCTCCATCTCCCACCCACACCCCCATTCCTCCTTCAGCTACAAAGACTCACCTCTAGTCAGCTGGGGAGGCCCAGGGGCTACATAGCAAGATCCCACAAATGAGGGTGGAGGGTCTGACCCTGGGTCTTGTGAGGTGGGGGTGGAGAATGTCTGTCTTTTTTCTTAATCTTTGGCTCCCCACTCAGAGGGCAAATGTATAATAGTATAGCACAGGAACAGGCCCTTTGGCCCGCCATGTCTGTGCTGACCGTGATGTCATTCTAAACTAATCCCATCTACCTGCCAATGGTCCGTATCCCTCTATTCCCTGTCTGTTCATGTGTCTGTCTAAATGCCTCTTAAGTATTCCTCTCATATCTGCTTCTACCACCTCCCCTGGCACCATGTTCCAGGAACCGACCGCACTCTGTGTAAAAAGAACATGTCTTGCACATCTTCTTTAAACTTTTCCCTCCCTCACCTTAAACCTATAATTCCTTGTATTTGACATTCCCACCCTGGGAAAAAGACTCGGACTATCCACCCTGTTGTGCCTGTCATAATGTTATACACTTCTATCAGGTTGCCGCTTGATGCTGTCATGAAAACAATCCAGGTTTGTCCAATCTTTCCTTATAGCTCATACCCTCTAATCCGGGCAACATCCTGGTAAATCTCTTCTGCACCCACTCTGAAGCCTCCACATCCTTCCTTTAGTGTGACAACCAGAAGTACATACTGCGCTCCAAGTATGGCCTAATTAAAATTTTATACAGCTGCAACATGACTTGGCAACTTTTATACACAATGCCCCAACTGATGAAGGCAAGCATGCCATACGCTACCTTTACCATCTTGTCCACTTGCGTTGCCACTTTCAGGGAGTTATTGACTTGTGCCCCAATATCCCGCTGTATATCAATGTTCCTCAGTGCCATTTACTGTATACTGTCCTCCTGCATTTGACTTCCCAAAAATGCATCACCTTTCACTTGTCTGGATTAAATTCCATCTGCCATTTCCCCACTGAACTTTCCACCTGATGTATATCTTGCTGCATCCTTTGACAACCATCTTTACTACTTACAATCTGCACCAATTTTCATGTTATCTGCCAACTTACTAATCAGACCACTTATCCAAATCACTTATATAAATGACAATCAACAGGGGTCCCAGCACTGATCCTTGCAGAACACCATTGGTCACAGACCTCCAATCAGAAAATTTCCCTTCCACAATGACCTTCTGTCTTCTATGACCAAGCCAATTTTGATCCAACTTACCAAATCACCTGTATCCCATGGGAGTTAATCTTCTGGGCCAGTGAGAAAGCTTGTCGAATGCTTTACTAATGTCCATCTCGACAACGTCCACTGCCCCACCCTCATCAATTATCTACGTCACTTTCTTAAAAAAAACACTCAACCAAAAAGGTGAGAGAAGACCACTCCGGCACAGGGTGGTCCCAGTTCAGTTCAGAGGGCTGTGCCTCTGATCCTGTGGACCTCTCCCCTGTGCTCTCAGTTCTGCCGTCCCATTTGTGTGAAGAAGGGGATCATCTCTAGTTTTGGGGCAGGTCTGTTCACGGGGGAAAGCCAGCATAGCTACCTCCCTGCCTTCCCTTTTCCAAAAATCCATCTCCCTTTTTCTTTCCAAAGCTGGCAATTGGGAGATAGTGGCGCTGAGGGGATGGTGCTGGACCAGAGCCCAGGCTAATGCGCTTGGACACAAGTTTGAATCCTACCTTGGCAAATTCATAAATCAAGAATTGAAAGCCAGTCTATGATGGTGGCCTTCAATTGTTGGGAAAAACCCATCTGGTACAGTAGTGTCCTTCAGGGAGGGAGACTGCCATCTTTGCCTGGTCTGGCCTGCTTGTGGATCCAGACCCACAACGATGTGGTTGACTCTTAACTTCCCTCTGGGCAATTGGGGATGGGCAATAGTACTAGTATTGCCCCACATCCTGTGAAAGGACGAAGAGGATTGTAAAGAATGGAGGTGGAACCTCATGGAAATCTATAAAATTCAATAGGGCAAGACAGGGTAAACACAGGAAGGATGTTCCCGGTGCCCGGGGAGTCCAGATCTAAGGGTTTACAGTCTAAGGATACAGGACTGAGATGAGGAGAAATGTCTTCACCCGGAGAGTGTGGAGCCTGTGGAATTCTTTGTCACAGAGAGCAATTGAGGCTGAAACATTGAATATTTTCAAGAACGAGATGGATATAGATCTTAGCGCTAAAAAGATCAAAGACTATGGGGAGAAATTGGGAACAGGGGACTGAATTGGATGATCAGTCATGATCATATTGAATGGTGGAACAGGTCCAAAGGGCTAAATGACCTACTCCTGCTCTTATTTTCTATGTTTCTATCATCACCATAATACTGATCCTCTGCCCTGAATTATCCATTCTTGGTGGTGTTACTGCCATTATTCACACTACAGGAGCAGAAGTCATTAAATGCATAGTTTACTTTGACATCAAACTACAATTAGTAATACAGCTGCATGAGCAGCAACAAAATATTGCCTCCATTCGAGACTTTAAAGTTGGCAAGAATAAAGTGATATGAAATTGAACTGAAATTTAACTCCCTGGTTGAGGCAGAGATTACATGTTGAGCTCACAACTGACACTATGCAACGGGTTCCAATGTTTCAATATTATAAAATGGGTTTGTCGAACATTCTTTTTCTTCCAACAGTTTCTGAAATATGCCTAGATTTCTCATGATGTTCAGTCACAATTTGTAAAATTATGGTTAATAACCTGTAGGCCTACCTGAATGTCCATTTAATAGATCTATGCAAAATAAAGTTTGAGCACCTTGATTTAAATCAGTTGAAAAGTTAACGTGACTTTTTTAGATTATTAGGCACTTGCCCCAGCAATTAACTACAATCTTGTTTGCGGCTTCAAAAATAAAGATATTAACCTGCACATTATAAACCCCAGTATTATGATTCAAATGATTGGAATTACATTACAGAAGTAATGAATTCTGCCCCATTACCCTTCCTCCCTAAATAGCTATTTGGGTGATCAACATTCTCCAGACCATTCTCGTTTTGATATTTAACAAAACTGAATACTTCTGAAATGCAATAGGGATTCCACTCTCTCCAGTCTTTCAGGTAATTGGTTTCAGGCCAACTGCTCCTCTAAACAGTTTATTAAATAAGAGTATAATTCTGCTGCCAATAACATCAAATCCATGCTCTCCAGTTATTGACAGATTTGCCAGCAGAAATAGATCCTGTCTATGGACAATCACCTGACGTTTCGGCTTCAAAAACATGAGCTAAATCTTCTCACAGTCTCCACACTGTTGAATCTTCCTTCATTGTGAAAGCTTTCGGTCCCAATGATCACATCTTCCTGTAAAGTGGAGACCAGAATTGTGCACAGTGCTGTTGTATTTACTTAACTAGTGA